GGCATTCAAAAGGGAAAAAAAAAAGCCCTACAGTTAGTTTTTACCTTTAAAAACATCAAATGAATCGCGTTCAGTTTCCCCCTGTTAACTGAATGCTCGTTGATAAAAGTGCACATATCAACACTAGTAAGATTGGTATCGAACAGTAAAATAGATTTGTGAAAACGCCCCACCCTCAACATTGTTTCCTTGCTAAAATAAAAAAACTGGGCTGTATGTTTTACTAGCATTTTCTCAGTCTTCTTAGCCGCTGGGTTTGCAAGCACTTTCTCTAGACAGTTCGAAGGTCAGAAAGTGACCTTCTATAACCCTGTTCTTAACTAAATGATAAGCACTTTCTCCAATCAAAATTCTTACCGGTTTGGGATGACTGAAGTTGGGCACACCAGCAGATATATTTTTAAAACTGCTAGGCAAAGCATTCTGAAACAATAGACAAAGAGCTAATAAAATATAAGAAAAAGAATGGGAAGATACAAAAAAAAGTTCCTCTTAAAAATAGAGAATGCCAAAACAGGAAGGGCTGATGAGATAGTTGTGGTTTTAGCAGGCTTTGTTTAGACAGATGCACGACTATTAGTTTCTGCTTTAAGTTGACCAAGATTTTTGACACTAAAAAGAAAACAGCTAACTCAATAATAATTTTTTTTTAAAAAAAAGCAAGATGAAAGAACATTTGAGGAGGTGAAATCTTCAGGGTTTTACAGAAAATGTATCCATTCGAGTCTTTACCATAATCAGCACCGTTCAAGCACCGAATAGCAAGCAGCTGGAAAAGGTCTGTATACAGATGCGGTTTTCCCTTTCCTTTCCCACCATTTCATTAAGTAAATAACATTCTTTCAGTGGAGCACAGAGACTCCTGAGGGATGTCGGAAATAGGGAGAAAAAGTATGGAATCCCTAAGGCTCGAGCTGCTTTCACCTCTTACTTCCTTTCTGCAGGTTTTCAAAACCTTTGTTCACCCTGAAACCCAGGGAGGCGGAGACAGGAGAACAAATGGGAACCTCCAGCCTACACTCTCCCCCTCATCTTCCCCCTCAAGCTTCACCCTTGGGCAGCCCAGTTTGCATGGCCAAGCCCCGTCCAGCAATCAAGCATGTTCACCACTGGGAGGATAAACTGAGGGCAAGTGCCTTTGGAGTCCCTGGAATGGGCACAAGGCCATCGGGACAGGGAACTCTGGGGACACAGGAACCCAAGCGAGGTCTAGAGGTAAGGGAACGAGCTCAGGGCATTCCCTTGGCTCTGAAGATTCCTTGCCCATGGGGAATCGGAAGGAGTGTGGGGGCCCTCTAAAATGGGGGTCCCAGGGAAGGAGCTCTGGTTGCATGAGGCAAAGGATAATACTGGCTTTATTGGTGGTAGACTATCTTATCGCCACTGCTTACAGAAAGTTGTACATAGTTTCAAATGAACTAACTGGAGGCCTAATATTTAGAGTAACTCAAGAACAACCTCTAAATTTCCCTGAGTTATTAAAAAAAATTGGACATGGCCTTGAAAGAAAAGAAAGAGTAAGTTTACAAAATAATTTTAAGTTTAAATTGTCTTGCTAATTAAAGCAACTTAGCCTCGATCAGAAACTACATAAAGTTTGAAATTTTAAAAAGATTAATGATTAATTTTAAGAGACCAATCCCTTAGTCCACATAGCTGAAGTTTTCATAAGCTTCTGATCTAGAATTTTCTATTTGTTGGGGGTAAAAAATGCCTCTAGAATTTTAAAGAAAACAGTCTGTCATTATTTTGTTCAAAACTCTTCAAAATAAATCACACGAGGATGTAATGACTGGTATAAATGTACTAGATGCCCTATGAAAACATAATTGCCTTTTTAAAAAAAAGTATATAAGATTTGAACCCTCAATGTACCAGAACTGTGTCCAATTTGCAAACATCTGAGGACCACAGAGGAAGAAGAGGAGAGGGGGAGGGGAGGAGAGACAGCCGCTTTTTCCCAAATGATTTTTGTTCAGCAACTAAAAATGAAGAGGTGTATGCAAATGACAGTAACTTTCATTTTTTGAAAAAAAATTGTTAACAGTAACTAGTTTTCAAGTTGGGCCAAAGAATGATAATCCCAGCAGCCGTGACATGCTAACAATGAGTTCAGGTTCAGAGAAAGGGTAAATTAGGCCAAACCACTAAGGAACACTGTGTAAACGTAAAACACGAAAAGCCCCATGTGAGCAAAGCAGAAAGCCGCTTGTAGAGGTAAAAGCAGGCCTTCTCAAAGGTTTTGGTGTGAGGTTTTGATGTAGAAAATTCTTAGCAAATGTAAATATCTGGAGGGTAATCAGTTTCAATCTGAGCTGTTCCTTTCGGCCCAGTTCATCTATCCATGCCTTCCCTCTAGTCTGGCAGACAACGATGATTTCTGAGAGCTCTGTGAAGGAGGGGCCACACAACGTTTGCAATTTTTAAAATTTATAAAGTACTTTTGAGTTTCCTCAGGAAAGACTTGACACTGTAAAATCACTTATCACTTTACCTCGGAAGTTAATGCACAATTTTAAATGGCTTGAGTTTTCACAGGTGACTCTGGTTGAGGATTTGACCTTTTGTTTCATAAACTGAATCTAAATAAAATAGTAGTTACATCAGTGGAATAGCACTGGGCCAGACAAACCCTACTGGTTCATAAAAGAGTCCAATCCTCTTGAACAGTGATATCACTACTCCTAGGTCAGAATCAATATTTATACATAAAAATAGTCTTACATGACTGTTCTCAAAAATTAAGTTAATAACTTTATTATGAGAGCTTAGTTTTGCTATCAGCATCTACCTTTCTGTATTCTATATACAAGAATGTTCTGAAAACAACTTGCAGTTAACGTCTCATAAAATTCTTGATATCACCTGCCAAACTGTGACTACTTGGTTTTAATTCAGGTTCTTTCTTGAGACTTTGAGAAAGGAAATAGTTTACCTGTTGTTTCATGGATGTAATTGAAATTATGCTTTTTGTTAAAGTGGGCATATTATCCCAAGCTTCATATATCCCTGTAGAAAGGCAAAAGGGGAAATATAAAGATACAAACCAACATTTAGAGAACAGGAGTTTCTAAAGAAACTTCTAAGCATCAGACATTCTATACACCATCTCCTTTCATTCTCGCTGCAACTCCATGAAGTAAGCCTTGTACTTATCATTATGCCGAATTTCAAATATGGCAACAAGCTTGGAGAGTTAAATACTCACTATTAATAAGGAGGGGATCTGAACATAAAAGTTTCTGGCTCAACATCTTGGCTTTTCTTTCTACCACGTGGCTTCTCTAGTTTCTGTTTTTAAAATGTTTTGCTTACACTTTGATATTTTCAAGGGGTTACCAAGCAAGAGGCCATATTCCTTACTTCTGGTGCTGCCTAGCTTATCTTTCCACATTAATGATTAACTTTCTCTGGCAACACAGGCACCAGCCTTGGCACTTCTCCATTTTTTCGCTGCTGCTAAAAGCTGATAATAGGCTTGAGCTGCCCACACCACAAAAAACTTTTGGTTTGTTTTTTTTTAACTGCAAAGTTACATGTATTTTGAAGTCAAGCTCTATGAGCTTAGAGAATGTCTCATGACTTCAAGATCGAAAAAGGAAATTGATCTAACACTTAAAATACAGAGCACTGTGTTTCGCCTGTCCCAGTCTCCCAGGAAAGCATCATATTGGCATCTAAGGAAGTGTTTCGAAGGGCCCCACTGCAGTCTGGCTCAGATCTGCTGCCCACAGCTGCAGATCGGCTTACTGGAAAACTGTAAGCATTGCTGGGCACAGCTTTACAAAGCTTAGCACTTCACCGGGAACTCGTCAGAGGCCATGGCACATGTTATAACACACTTAAGTATCTCCTAAGACCAACATTAAAAACTGGTAAGTAAAGACCAGCAAGGTGTGTGCACTAGTATTAGCTGGTGTTTTTCTTCTAATTCTTTACTTCTCAGTGGCCAAGTGAAATTTCTGCCTTTAAAATAAGTTTTTATGCCTCCAAACACATGGTTTATGCTTGTGCCTCTTAAAAAATTCAAAAAGTTAAGTAAGCACTCCAATAAGCTAGTCAAGTTGGTTGAAAACTGTAATATATGTACCTTCTCAAGTACTCTGATTATTTATGAATTTTGTTGAGGTGTGTATGGGCTTAGCTTGGTACTGAATTAGAAATAAAATAATTTCTGAATTAGAAACAGAAATAGATCTTGTTAGTAGCCACTTCCCAAACAAAGCTGAATACTTAGAGAGATGATTATCCACCACTTTGAAATACCAGAGGGAAAATAAAATTAACTTTTCTTAAAAAGAAAAATCAATTAAGTTTATTTTTATTTAACTACTAAGCCATCCATTGGCGGATCAGAAAGCAACAAACTTGTTGAGTTTCGTTAACACATCTGCTTTTTTTATTTTTTAGAATATAGTCTACATCTGGATTAAAAAAGTTTTAAATAAACTTAAGACATATAACAACGATGGAACCCTTCATCATTCTATGTACAACACGGATAGAATGTCAGGTGGTTCCATTTCGGTTAAGTCCACTTTCTCGTAATAATGTTATTATTTTCACTGGCTGAGTGGCAAGCTTCGTACAAGCTGGCACAGTGCCAGCTTACACACACTGGGTGGGGGTGGCGTGAAAGGGACGGGGTAGGTGTGCCACAGGACACATATACAGTGTAACAGCAAATCATTAATAAAGTAGTACCGGTTACCGACAGACAGTACTGTTTGTGCGCTTATCACAATGGAATTGCCGAAGTTTCAGAGCAAGGAGGAGATTCGAAATACTTAAGACAGGGCCACTGTTACAAAAAGAAATAGTGCAAACAGGAAAACTGACGCAATCCTAGCAACGCTGCGGCCTCCACCAGCCCAACGGCAGGGCGGCGGGAGGCTGCGCGCCCCGCCTTCCCCAGCGCCCGGCTCCGGGCGGCGCTCCCAAGTGTGGCAACCCAG